TGGACATACATACATGTATCAAGTTAGAAAATGTATTTGCTTGCAGTATATGTACAGTGTCTTATATCAGGACTTCATGAATGATACTGACATTACTCTGGATGTTGTTGGGAAGGAAGAGTTCACTAGGTGCTAGTTTTCAGTACGTCTTCGAAGTACCATGTGTATCAGTTTACAAACTTGTTTGGCATGTATTTACATGTATGCTTAGTATCATGTACAATGGGCTGAAATTAGAAACTAGTGATGCATGAACTTCCATACAATAAGAATTGAATAGTGCATGGACTGAAATTATAGCTAAGCTGAAAAGGTGTTAAATATGCTTTGAGGAGTTGTGCAATTCTAAGCAATTTTACAGACAATTTCCATGGTGATGGTTGTTATCCCAAAGAATGTGCAAATCTGACTGAGAATAAAGACAACTAGTAAATGAGTTCTGTGGCAGATATTCAAATGCATTGAAAAGAGGAGAGATTAAATCTCCTAGAAACAGAAAATGAATTAAAATGCTGTAAAATTTTACTGTCAAGGAAGAATACAGTACATGTGCGTGTAGTCCTTGTAGAGTTACAGGTGAGCCCTAGGCCTTGTTTCAGTTTCTATTCAGCTTGCATTCAGTTGAACAGGAATGTTTTTTAGGGTGTAGGATTTACACAGTATATATTCAACTGTTCAATTTCCTTTGTTATCAAATGACAGAATATCTATTCTGATCAATTCCTTTTTTTTTTTTTTTTTTTTTTTTTTTTNACTTAAAACATCCTGATGTTTTAAAAAGGAATTATACTGCAATTTATTTCAAGTGAATCAAAGACATTTTTTACAGCTGTTTTTACCATCTTGTTTGTAGATGTAAACATCGCACCTTGCGTGTCGTTTTATTTTTCGTAATAATACTCTTTTTAATGTGTTTCAAGGTTAGTTTTGTTCACAGTCAGTGTACCATTTTTATTTTGTCCCTCATCGTGAAGCTCAACCCATGTTTTGTTCTTTTGTTGTTTTTAACAGGAAGGGTAGTAAATTTGTAATAATTTTAAACTTGATGACTCTTGTTTTTTAATAAGCTTAGGATGAACACACACACAGCTGTACATTGCAAATTTTCAATCCTTATATTTTCCATTTTAAAGCGATGTCTTTAAGGCAATACATACTGTACATTCTCTCCTTGTCACAGAAAATGACATTGGGGGACAGTATTCTTAATCGTAAATCAAATAGTTTGAAATTAGTACTTCTAGTTTGAGTAAATGTGTTGAAATAATATTGTTTCACCAGATTTAGTTTTAAAAATAATCATGTTAATGCATACACTTGTATCTAAGGATTTGTCATAATGTTTGTCAGGTCAGACCATGAAAAGCTAAAAGAGCTTGAAGATGAACAGGAGGAGTTAAATGGCTCTCTTCTTGCCCTCACAAGCCACTTTGCTCAGGTACTTATAATAATAACAACTTACTGAGTGACTTGAATGTATTGCAGCTGCTCAAAAAGGATAATTCGTTAAAAATTTTGGCCACAAATTTTCTGAGTTCTGTGACACAAATTTTTATATTGTACCCTGAAAAACTCCTGGAATTACCTTTAGTTACATCATCTCGGACTGGCTGTACATGAATCTCCACTTGAAGCATCCTATCCAGAAAGAGGTGGGGGAGGGGCAGGGGAGGGGTTGGGAGGTGGTAAGAATACTTTTATTCACTTTATTCTCTGGAGGTGTTGGTTCACTTGTTTTTGTTGTTGTTGTTGTTGTTGTTGTTGTTGTTTTTTGATCAGAGCCAGATTTGATATTAAGCAATTAATTCATGCTTTAGGGCACGTCTTCGGCTTATGATGCATGTGGACCGTTTTGAGAATTATTACATTAAAACAGTTGCTCTAGTCACATGTACATGTAGGTGCATCCTAAAGCAACTTTACACTGCAAACTCTCTGTTTTACATGCTATCTAAAGTTTCTACATTTATCATACTTGTAATTTGATACACAGCTAAAAGCATGAATCAATTGTTTCATAACATTGCCAATAGAATGGTAAGGCTTGTAATTAGCAAAGTTTACTTTGCACATACATGTACCGTGAGGCCTGCACATGCCTGTGATCATTGGATTATTGTGCATGTTAACATATACATGTGTATACTGAGTTTAATAGCGTGGCTTTGCTAGCTATTTTATAATTTGTTTTCTAGGTGCAATTCCGATTAAAGCAGGTTGTTGCTGCTCCTGAAGAGACCAGAGAGGTGGGTCAAGCTTATGTTCATACTTTTCTTCTCTAGTTCATCTGATGAAAGACTAACACAATTTTTGCCACTTCTTAATAAAAGTTGTTGCACCAATTCTTGCTGGCAATTCTTCTAAACTGGTCAGCTCTTTTTGAAAAAAGAACCACATTGTTATATTCTGATGTACCAGTGCTGTCTACTACACCCATTGAACTTTCCAGCTAGCATTGTCTTGTCTATGTGGTAAAGTCTGCTTTTACTCTTTCACTTGTGCAGTTTTGTAGAATGACCCATTAACTATTTTATCATGGCGTTCTTGTGATTTCTCTTTGGTGTCAAACCACTTTTTTGCCATCATCTAGAGGTACATGTAGCTTCTCAGTGTTACATGGTACAGTATTTGTCATATCATGTTTCTTTGTAGCGGTTGCTAATGGAGCTGGAAGAGTTTGCATTCCAAGGATGCCCTGATGTGCGAGGTCCACAAAAAAAGGAAAGTCCAGAAAAGGCATTGAATAATGATGGTGAAGATAAAAATGTGAGTTTCATGAAACATATTCAGTGATAGACCATTCTCTGAGAGCTTGCGAATGTAGAATCAAAGTGACAATCTTTTGATCATTTAGTCTTTGTTAACCAAACTAAAATAATGCTGAGACTGAAGTATGCTTTCCATGGGTAGTAGCAATTTCTCCAACACTAGTGACTATGTGCTAATTAAGTACGAAACTGGAGTTACCATAAGATCAAGGTGTAAGCCTCCAACATGTGGGCTTCTAATCTTGGAAGAACTTGCATGTATAAGTTAACAGTATTTACAAGCTTAATGGTAAGTTACATTTGGTGGGGCCATGTTTACGGGAAGTGTTATTCATGCAGTCAGGCCAAACTTACGGTAGAATGTTTGTTCCAACATGTCCCCTTTTATTTATAAATTATTACTTTTTTTATTTCTAATCAGAACTTACAAGAATATGAACAAAAGCTGAGCCTTGAGAAAACAAAGCAAGAAAGCCTCATAGGACAATTGAAAGATCAACTGGAGGAAATGGAAAGATGTGTCGCTATGGTATGGGAAATTAGGACTTCTCCACTCTGCACTAAATGTCTATTAAATATTTTAATTGTATAAAACTTTATTTGTACTTTGTGAAAAAAAAATTGTTAAGTCACATTTCTTTGATAATTATCGTGACAGGGTACAATTTTCCAAGATGCTATTACTGTAAATCCATGATAATGTTTGAGGAGCAGGATGGCACCGTTGTGAGAGTGCTCACTTCCCACCCATGTGGCCCGGGTTTGACTTTGATTCCAGCCAGGTTCCATAAATTATGGGGTCAAGTTTGTTGTTGGTTCTTGCCTTGCTCCGAGGGTTTTTCAAAATTTCAATTCAATCAGGATAGAGGACCTGCATGAAAATCAGATAAGGCTGATGTGGCTTCCTTAGTAATTTTTTTTAATTTTTTTTATTTCTGGATTACGATTATTAATGGTTATGCCCTGTGGGGATTACTGGTATGTGAATTTCAACAGTTTTCCCTCAGAGGACAGCAGGAGGGGATGACTGTAAAATGTACTGATTTAAATAGAAAGCCAGCAGAGAAATGTAGTTAGCAAACTTGTAGTTCTAAATTATGTCAGCATTTTTCCATAGTACCAAAATAAAGAAGGTGGGTCGGGGAGAGAGGGAAGGTTGGGGGGGAGGGGAAGGGGTTGGGATATTGTTAATGATGTATTAGGTTTTTGAAGTGCACGAGTTTGTTAACTGAGTGAATTAAGATATGAATGAAGATTTAGTCACACATAATTTTACATTTTCTTATTTAGGGTGTCTCAGGAAATGCAAACGAAGAGTTAAGCCCAGAAAAGCTTGTTGAGAAGCAGCGTATTGTGATCGAGGAACTGAAGTGAGTCTCTCTTTAGT